CTTCATTTGGTCGCGGAGTGCTTTATTCTCGTTCTCCATTTCCTCCATTTTTTTAGGATGGACGCAAGTGCGTCACTGCCTGCATCAACAGCAGTGTGAGTGTTACCTGTTGGGAGAGGAGCAGGTTGCTCGTTGGCGGTTGCTGTGGTATCCGCTCGTGCGGCGCTTCTACTCGTCCCTTGAACGGGTTTGTCGAGTATGTTGTTTAGAGTACTTGTCAACCACGCCTCTAGTAGTTTTTTCACTACTGGTGGCGCTTCCTCAGTTGTGGACGTGGAGGCTCCCCTTTCTCGTGAAGCAGTTATACTTCCATGAGGGGGAGGTGAGTCGCTCCGCCTGGGTGTAGCGCTCGGCGTCACATTCTCCTCGTCTTCTCTCTCAACCTCGTCGATGGTGTTCAAAAGAGGTTGGCAGTGACGTCCACTACTGCTTTCAGTCTTTCATCTCCTTTTCCTGCCATTGTTTGTTCGTGCAAACAAGAAAAAGATGGTTGTTGTCGTTTTTTTTTTTATCTAGAAGAAACTAAAATTTTAACTAGAAAATCCCCACAGACGGCGCCAAATTGTTTGATCAAAAGTGTTAACATTTTTGTTAAACTGATTAAGTATTGTGATAATGGGCAGATCCTAGTTAAACGTAATGAATTCTAGATCTAAACAAGGGAGTATCAGTAATATGGGACCGTGTTCAAGAATAATAAATATCACGTGTATGCTCAATGATTGTCAATTAATATGTGAATAATGACATGCAATAGATGTGACAAATGGCAATAAATGTAAATAAAAGAAATTTATCACCCAAATATTGAATGAGGTAGATGATTCCTTCTTTTGACAGCAATATGTGACAATAAACTACGAAGATGGATAAAGTGTTCTTGGATCTTGTGAGTAGAAAAATGGAACAAACAACGAAATCGAACAGGAGCGACAAGACAAGCTTTTGTATATATTCTTGATAGTCAACTTCTTACAAATATGTTCTTATCCCAAAAGTGAAGATCCCTCTTTTATTCTTTATCTCTTCCTATTTATAGGGGATATTCCTAAGAAACCCTAAAAAAGTACAAGTGAAAGAATATTCAATGGAATATTTCTTTTTTCTATTCTAAACTTATCCTACCGTTACTTTCATACACCCTTTACTTGACCTCCGCACTGCCGTGGTCGGCTTAATCCTCGACCACGTCCATTTGCAGCTATTAAGTCTAGTCCAAATTTTGACCAATACAGATGCAAATGCCCCGTTTTGCTAGACTAAAAAGCCTTAATATTATAGTACTTATTATTCTATCTATCTTGCGAAAAATTTCACTAACTTTGTCGTTGCGATTTTCGATAAACCTAGCCAATATTGCTCAACTATTCATATATGTAATTAAATTCATTTATATTCAACCTATTATATGTGAAACAACCTCATTTCATCATTTAAACTAAGTGACTAGTTTATCTAGTTCAAGCATGACGAATAAGAGATTAAGATCAAATTTCAAAAAAAAAAAGTTACGATAATTTTTTTTTGAAAAATATGAAGAAAAAATTATCAAAAAGATGAATATGTAGTAACAAAATAGAGATAACGAGTCAGGAGAAGATGAAGTGAGAATAGGTTATGCATTATTAACTACACTAAGGGTGTGTTTGGTACGAAGGAAAATATTTTTCGGAAAATATTTTCCAATTTTTCCATGTTTGGTGGCTTAAATGTTTTGGAAAACATTTTCCTTATGAACTCATTTTCCTCCAATTGGAGGAAAATGTTTTCCTTATCAAGAGAAGGGAAAACATTTTTCAAAACTCTTTCTCAACCTTCCCTACCCTCACCAACCCACCCCACCCCCTCGCTCCAAAAAAGGTTTTTTTTTCTTTTTCAAATTTCAGTTTTTCCGTTACCACCCACCCTACTACCCCTCCACCCAACCCCACTCCCACTCCCCACACCCCCACCCTCCTCCCGCAAATATTATTTTTTTTACCTTATTTTTTTTTATTGCAATTTTAAATTTCTGTTTTTTTATTTTTCTGCACCACCCAACCCCCCAATTGCCCCCCTCCCAAAAAATATTTTTTTTAACATATTTTTCAGTTTTAGTTTTTTTATTTATCGGTTTAAAGGTTCAAAATTTTACAAGTTCCAAAGTTATGAGTTCGGAGGTTTATGTGTTTGGAAGTTTACGGGTTTAGAAATTATAAAGTTTACGGGTTAGAAATTCCGCTGTTTCGAAAGTTTAGCGATTCGAAAGTTTATGAAAAATGTGGGTTCGGAAGGTTATTGGTTTGAAAGTTTATGGCTTCATGTTTATTATATCTAAAATTATTAATTGAATACTCTTAACAAATTATTTTCCTTAATTTGCGTATCAAACACCGGAAAATGAATAAGATTACTACTTGTTTTCCAAAAAAATATTTTCTTGGAAAATATTTACCGTTATACCAAACACACCCTAAGTAGTATTTTATTTTAAGTTTTCCTATTATAAAGGGTGTGCAATTGTGTGGATATAATGAGGTCATCTTGCTTCCTTTGTTCTCTCCCAAGTCTCAGTGCTAAGACCATCTCCAACGCTAATACCAAATTTCACACCAAAATGGTGTAACACCAAATTTATTCCAACAATTACACCATTTTTTACACCAAAAAAGAATATTTCTTCTCTCTCTTCTATATTATATTATTATCTTTATTTAAATTTTATTTTTTATTTCCTTCAAACAAATTCTATCTTTTTTCTTTTTTCCATATTCATCATATATAATTCACATTCACCACTTATATAAGTATTTATTACAAAATTATTTTAAAGGATAAATCAACTAAAAGTGAAATCATTGATAAAAGATAATTATAATAATAATAAATTAACTTATAATTTTATATAAATATAATATATACAACAATAAATATATCAAAAAAGAGGATATAAAATTAAAATTATAAAGATCTTAATATAAAAATTAATTATATACACAACATATGATAAATTAAAAGTCCAAAAAAATAAAAATAAAAATAAAATAATAATAAATTAAATTTGGTGTTGATGAATAGTGTTGCACCAAATTTGGTGCAACACTATTCATGCACTATAATGGTGCAAGATTTGGTGTTCCATTAGAGCAAAAAAACACCAAAATTTACACCAAATTTAGATTTGGTACAAAAAATAGTGCACCCTTGGAGATGCCCTAAGGACCCTTAACCCATGGTCATCCACTTTGACTCCAAAATCTATTACTCTCTCAATTTCAGTTTATGTGAACTTATTTTTACTAGACACCAAGTTTAAAAAAAAAGAAGACTTTTGAATTTATGTGGTAAAATGAGGCACATATATTTTATGTGGCTATAAATCATTGTGTAAAGGTAAATTGTTTACAAATAGAGAAATAAGTCATTCTTTCTGGCACAAACTAAAAGAAAATAGGTTCACGTAAATTGAGACGGAGGGATTATGCACTTATGAACCAATAAATGTTACTCCTATTCTTCTTTAAATCTAGATTCAGAATCATATAAAATATAATATAAGGCATGATTGTCTAAAAGAATCAAATCTGAATCTACAAGAATCAAATTGCAATTGGAGTAAGTAATTTAACTCTTGGAAGCGGTTTCCCCGAATGGGCCTTACGCGGCGCGAATTCGGATATGATCAGGCTCCAATACAGGTAACGGATATAGAGTGAAAAACCAAAAAAAAAAATTTAACTCAATAATTTGTTGGACCCACCTGTACAAAAGCATAAACCACCAACACGGAGCTTACTGTATAAATATCTTTAGCTCTAAATATTTTATGGGCAGCGCCGTGCCAGATGGGGTTTGTCTAAAATATCTTGGAAGTTCAAACCCAGGTTTAACCCTGGTTAGCCACCAAAGGTTATCTGTTGTTGCCAGCGTAAATTAACGGCACTCGCATATTCCCCCTAATATTCCTAAATCTGTACTTGATTGGTCATTTCGTCCATTTCTCCTTTTTAGTGGAGTATTATTTTATGGAGGAGATCTAGTTTTAGTTACACTATCCAAAGTTGTTTTCTCTTAAATTACGTTTCTCTATTTCACATTATGACCACATTTTTTTTTTTGCTAATACCACATTTTTCTTTTGAAATACGAACTAAGTAAACATAGCAAGCATATTTGAAGAAAAAATTATTGGACCTCATAAATGTTCCAAATCATGTCTCGACATGGTGGATTTGTAGTAGGTGAAATTATGCGAGTGTATTTGGAAAATAAATTATTCGGATCTTATACATACATCAAATTATATTAATAATTGGTTAAATAATAACTTAACATGAAAATACATACTTATTATATAATCATGATTAATTAATAGATCTTATATAAAAACATGTCACGTACTTATTATTTTATAACAAATACTAATCCGTGTAAGTTTTTCTCTATCTGCAATTCGACCTACAGTCAAACCTCTCTATAATAGTCCGCAACCGTGTTTGTTCCAATATTTTTTGGATGCTATTGTAAAATGCAGTTACAGAGAACATATATTATAATATAACATAAAAGATCAGTTTTGATAAAATTAGACTTTTATTGTGAATGACTGTTATATAAGAATGTTGTTATAGAGAGGTCTGATTGTATATACATAGAGTTGGAACTTTAAAAAAGGTTTTATTTCCTATTAAGATAAAATGTATATTTTTGTTTATCATGTAATTCTGAAAACGAGATCTCAATGGAAGTTTGAGATTTGCAATTATTAGTAGTAAAACTTACATCTAAAACATTTGTGGTATTATTCTAACTTGCTCAATATGAATTAGTTGTGTGTCAGGAACAAGTTGAAGAAAGTGACAAAAATTCACGAGAGACGGAGTTTTTTCGGTAACCAAACGGACAATTTTTTTTAACCAGACCCCTAACCCGAGTTGCATTGAAGTTAGGAAAAGAACCGCCGTGCACTATTAACTTAACCAGCCCTAGACTCAAACCTAGGTTCCTCAACCAGCCTATAAAAACAGGCGGTTTCTACTCTCCTCTCCACAGCTCTCTCTTCCCTTCGTTTTTAGGTTTTCTTCTTATTAATCAGAAAAAAATGGCAGAAGTTGAATACAGGTGCTTCGTCGGTGGGCTAGCATGGGCTACCACTGACCAAACACTTGGGGATGCTTTTTCTCAGTTCGGCGAAATTCTCGACTCGAAGGTCTGTTGCAAAACAGAGCAGAGATCGGATTCGAGCCGATTTGAATCGGCTTCGTTGACCCTCTGTTACTGGAAAAATTGATCTGTTACTACTCTCTCTGTTACTGTTACTGTTACTGTTACTACTCTCTGGTTTATCTGTTACTGTTACTATTTGTTACTATTATTCCACTTTCCCCGAAACGGTACGTTCCGTCTTCCTCTGTTTATACAAGAGATGAAGATAGATCGATTTTAGTGTTTCTCCCCTATTTTTTTGATTTTTAATTTATGGATTTACCTGTTTTTGGATGTTATGTTGTAGATCCGGTTAGATCTGATGTGTTTTTATGATATTTGAATTTTTCAGATTATTAATGACAGAGAAACTGGTAGATCTAGAGGATTTGGATTTGTTACCTTCAAGGATGAGAAAGCCATGAGGGACGCTATTGAAGGGATGAACGGCCAGGACCTTGACGGTCGTAACATCACCGTCAACGAAGCTCAGTCTCGCGGAAGCGGCGGAGGCGGAGGCGGTGGTGGTTACCGTGGTGGTGGCGGTGGAGGCTACGGAGGTGGTGGCCGTCGTGAAGGTGGATACGGTGGTGGCGGCGGTTACGGAGGTGGCCGTCGTGAAGGTGGTTATGGTGGTGGTGGTGGTGGCGGTTATGGAGGTGGCCGTCGTGAAGGTGGTTACGGTGGTGGCTCTGAAGGAAACTGGAGGAGTTAGATTTTCCGTTGCCTTTAGATATTTTCTTTTTTGGTTTGAAATTTATGGTTCTAAGTTTGGTTGAAGTTCCGTTATGGTTTACTGTGGTTCCTGTTACTGTCCTCGTTTTTGACCGCGAGATTGTTACCGTCTTGTTACTTTGTGGATCTGTATTTACAAAGTTCTCTGGAATGAAGTGAATGAAGATTTACCGTTTACAATTTACAATTCATGTGTGTGTTTACTTTTATTTTGCTGAGCATCTACATCATATTAGAGTGAGATCCATAATTTGGCTGAAAGCGTTAATTTAAAGATCAAAGGCCTTAACGTAGAACCATCTTGCCTTAGAATATAATTTTTTTAAATATTAGTAGTATTTATTTAAAATAAATAAGGTATTAACTTTTACTATTAATTAACTAATTATTTGTCGCTCCAATTGGACGTGTATCAGTTTTGTTTTATTGGATGTCTAGTAAGGAACACAATGTGAATCATTTAATATTACTTTTTTTTCTTTTAACTTTAGTGTTTCTTTTTCAAAAGGAATTTCCTTTACATTTTCAATTGATATCCAAATCCGTATAGTTAATTCTTTAGGTTTCATTTAAAATGAGGCATTTTGGTCGCACCACGACATATTAGTGTAAACGATCTTCTTTATTATCGTCTTTTTCTGATTTAGTTATATTGTCTTTTCCAGATTAACCTCAGTCGACGAATGAGTTAGTTGAAGAGTGACGATCAAATTGGGCTTTTTGTTAAATCTCAATACTATTGGGCTGAAGTCCACCATATATGTGAGACGTATGCTTGTCAATGTGTTTGCTGTTGATGAAGCTAGGTTACCACAAATGGCTCTTATTTTTTGTGGAAAAAAAAACGGCTATTTAAAATACAATATTTTCTAGCAGTAGTATTTATGAGAGTTATTACATTCAGCCAATGAAAATATAATCCATCCAAACATGTTCAACTATGGAATATTTACTTATTTATATTACTGTATAAACTTACTTACCCTATGAGAGGTTATTAATTAATTACATTAGCATATACAATTTATCATTATATACAAAATATTATATTAGACTGTCATCTTACTCATTTTAGGCTTCATTCTTTTATATTTTTCTTCTCTGTATAGTATTTCTCTCACAGATCCTTTTCGATTGCAGATGAACATTGGTTTAAAGTTATAGAATACATACGTGAAACACCAAGTCACCAACACAGATCGGTCACCAAAAGTTCTTTTTGATAAATAAACAAGACATTGTCTACAAGAGTGGCGCTTGGAACTAAACTGAAACTAATAATTGACGGTATAATTGAAACTAAACTAAATTAAATTGTGTATACATGAACTTAAACTCCATTAGCCATTAGAAAGCTTATTATTTTCGAATTCGAAAAATGAATTTTGCGAAATTGTTATTGTTTGGATTGAGTGTTGTTGCAAATGATTGGATATATCCTTTGCAATTTATATCTCAATTTTGAGAGAACTAAGTGAAGATTCGAGGTGGTTTTGGTTGGAATTTCAGATTGAAACTCGAAGAAGAACTGATATGAGTTATATATAAATTGTATGTAAATGATAGTTTTTGACCGAATTCTGTACAAAAAAATATTATATTAAGTTGTAGATAAATTATAGATTTTGACCAAATTTGTATATACTTTGCAAAAAAACTTTAGTTACTTTTGGTAAATAGGATAACTAAGATAAATCGGGTAAATATATTTAAAATCTCGTATATATAAAAAAAGTCCCTTCAACTATCTCAAATTTGAGCTGGTTAAACCGGAAACATAATCATTGATAAAGTTTTTTTGGGCGCAACTCAATTTAACCGAATTTGGGCACAACAATTACGTCCTTTCAACCCACGTTGAATATTGCTCAAAGGCTATAACTCATATTCTTATTGGCTAATTAATTTTCTTATTGCATACACAAAATCTACATTGACTACAGCATTTACATTCGTGAGCTATTGTTTGCGTTGTCCCAGTTAAACTCATGAATGTATTCATTAGTAGCCAACTCACAAAAGTAAAATTTCAATTTCTTCTTTATATTTGCGAGATATTATTCATTTTCTCCCAACTGATCTCATGACTGTATCCATTAGAATCCGGCTCACAAGCAAGAGAATTTTAAATTCTTATAAAATTATTAAACTTGTTTATCTCTGATTGATGGTCCATGAAAACAACCTAAAATATTGCATTATTTAGTAAATCAACAGTTAAATATTTTATATTACTTCTTGCAAGTGACAAGGAGAATAACAAGTTCACATGATTAAGACTTGAGGTAATTATAAACTTCAAATGGTATAGTATGCGCAATTTCTTACTTTTTTTTGGGGGATTAAATTCCGGAGGTGGTCTCTAATTGATTGATACTGCCTAGGGATGTCAAATGGGCGAGTTTGTCTGATTTTAGGCGGGTCAAAACGGGTCAAGTCAATATTGACCTGCCCAAAAGTTACTTGCGCTAAGATGGGCTGAGTCAAGATGGACTAAAATTTGGGTCATAGCCCAACCTGCCCAACTCTTATCAAGCTTTACTTAATATGTGTTATTTTCTTATGAATACTAAATAAGACTTTTTTCTTTATGTAACATATCAAATAAAAAAAAATTATTTCTAAGACATTTTGGCAAAGTTACTCATTGATCAATTTGGGCTAAAAATCAGCCCAAACTTTGAATGAGTTGAGATGTGTTGGGTCAAGATGCGCTGATTTTAATAAATGGACGGGTCAATAATGTAAGGGCCCATAAAATTTTACCAAGAACTCGAGATTTGTGGTGCCGAGGTAGGCTAATGTGTAAGGCCCCGTGAATTTCTATTGCTAATTTGAGCGATTTCAAGCTTAAGAATACAATTTAATTTAGACCCGAACCACATGACAATTACTGGAGTGGATAAAGTTATTTGGATACTTGGGGATAATTATTTTATTAATCTTTGAGAGTTGTAATAATGGGGAAACACTTAGATGTTAATTTCAAAGCAATAAGACTAAAGAAAATACAGTGAGCTATCTCCGCATAGCGCAGCTATAGCACAAGAGTGAAGCAGAAATTTTAGCAAACCAGTGAGCTAAAGCCTTATAGCACATGGATAGCACCAATTGAAAAATACTGTACCTGATTTTAGCAAACCAGTAAGCTAAAGCCTTATAGCACATGGATAGCACCAGCAGAAAAATACTGTACCTGGGCCTATTAATACCTGAGTGGGGAGAGAGAAAAATAAAAGAATTTCAAGACTAGGGCTTTCTCTCCATCTTTCATCCGGCCAAGGCTTCCAATACACTCTAAAGGCGAGTTTTTAAGTGTGTTTTTATGATGATTTCCCTATCTCAACCACTTGTTACAACAAGGTTTTGATTGGATTACATAGGATTTCTTCAAAATCTCAAGAACACCCCAAAAGTTGACTTTCAAGATTTGATCTACTAGAGGTAATCTTCCACCCTTAAACCTGCATGCATGGATTGTTTGTGAATGTATAAGCAAGAAATAAGTACTATCACTTATGAGATGGTGATTGGAAGCCATAAATACTTAAACTAGATTATTGGGTGTTGTATAGATTTTGTAATGAGTTAATTAGTAAAATTTTATGGATGTGAGCTCATTGGTTATTATAATGGTGCTAAAGAAGGCAATTAGTAGTTAGAGGATGTTGTATTATATATTGTTTGTGGGAAGGAAGGATTGTTGGATGAAGGAACACCATTACTAGAGGTAGTCGAAGGCTATGCACTTTAGGTGTTTAATAAAATGCCAAAATGACCAAAAACCTGGAAATTTTTACTAATATTGGTCTAATTGAATTATGTTGATGTAGATTGAAGCTGTAAGAGTAGTGGGGGGTTTTAATAACACTAAAGGACTGAATCCAGGTATGTTGGTTAAGCTCTTTTCTTAGAGTTGAATTCCACGGTGTTCATGTAAGTTATGTAAGACCCGAGTTGATCATTATGAAATTGGCTATTCCGAGTAAACTTGTGTTGAAAGATATATGTTCAACATGTGTTTCAATTGCTTTTATCATGCTATGTTATCAATTGAAAATATGTTCAAAGTATGGGCTGTGTGTTATAGCTGTTACGACTTCAAGTCAAGTTTTGAATGAAGGTTATCATGCCAAATTATGTGAAAAATCTCTGTATGTCTAAGACACTTAATTGCTCACATGTGTACATAAAATCTTGAATTGAAAAGTGTTGTTGTTGATAATGATGATGATGTGTGAACGTGAAAAGCGGACCATGAAATATGAAATACGGCCAAGTGCCAAGAATGATTTTATAATTGTGACCACTAGTGCCAATGAATTGAAAAGATGTGAAAGAAGTATGAAGTGAGATTAATGATAGAAAAGGGTAATGTCTCGGGTGAGACGGCCTAGCCGATCTGGCCGTGATCAGACGTCATGCCGCATACATGGTGGTGATTATGCTGGAAATTGTAATTGAAATTGTGATATTGGGTGATGTCTCAAATGAGGCGGCCTAGCCGATCGGACCGTGATCGGACTTCGTATAAAAGTACCGTGGTATTGTGAATGATGGTATATCGGTACTTAAGATCTCCCAACCTAAAAACAAGGAAATTTACTTGAAAACTTATGTGGTTCTTAACTTGATATTTTGGTATTATTTGAGGTTCCTATTGATTTCATGATTGTTCCTCCTTGTATTATTATTCATTCTATTGAGATGGTGTTTAGTTATACATACTAGTACTATTCGACAGTACTAACATCCCTTTGCCGGGGGCCGCTGTATCTTTAATAAATGCAGGTGGTTCCACAACAGGCAGTATTGACCAGTGATAGTGGTACACCCTCCTCCCAGCAGACTTGGTGAGCCCCACTTTATTCTGGGGTCATGTATCTTTTATTCATTATATTATCAT